AACAGTATAATATATCTAACTATATAAGGCAACCTTTATCTAGATATTAAGCACAAATTTGTATAACGTACTTGTATATTTAAAAAATAGAATTAAAAAAAAAAATGTCAGAAAACAAAGTTGTCTTGTCGGGTGTGGAGACCGCTGCCTCTAACAAGCCTTCTCAAAGCCACCCTGTTGCGCCGCCCAGAGCTCCACGATCGCTGCGGGAAAAAGTATTAACAAAAACAACTAACAGCGAAAAGTTGCCGCGGCCATCATCTCAGCCTGCAGCAGAAAAACGTTCTGTGGACTCAGCCCCGACAGACACACAGACCACTAGAAAAAAGGCTTCTTCGCACACCGCCACCCTACGAACAAAAATTTCTCAAAATTCCGTAAAAAGTGACAGCTCGATCCGGTCCTCCATTTGTGACCCGGCGGAGGTGGCTTTTGATAAAGTAGCAAACTGGAAGCAAGAAGAAATTCCCCCACTTCCAATCCTTTCGGACGAAGAACTCTCCATCACATCTGTGCCGGAATCACCATTATCGGAAGCACCGGAAAAAAGTAGACCCAGCCTGCTCATTAACTCCAACAGGCGACTGGGGGTGGAAATGGATATGGCGACAAAAGAAGCGAACGAAATGCTTCTGAGAGGGAAGGAGGCATTAGAAATGGCAGGGAACATGAAAAGGGAATGCAAACAAACAGCTTTAGAAAGTCTGCAGTCCCTCTACGAGATGGTCCTGGCATTGTCCGATTCGCGATCTAGACATAAGCACAACTTAGAAAAGGAACGCTCACGCAACGCTCATGAGCTAATGCGAGTGGAGCGGGCACATAATAAGCTTATGACACAAATTATGAAAGGAATGGCATCCGAAATAGGCCAAGCCAGGACTGATATAAAAAATACTCTCCAAGAATCTAAGGCGATAAGGGGCTGGCTGGACTTTGAAACCCAAGAGCCGTTTCGTAGAACATCGGAAATACTTAGGGCTGTAACGGATTTAGATAGGCGCATAGAGGTAATCCAAAATAACCTGACTCAGCAGAAGCAGGGAGGTGCAGAGAACATCTTACCTCACCTAAGAGTGGAACTCACTGGAGTAAAATCCAGCGTGGAAACACTCAGTATGCAATTGGATGACATGCGCCGAATTATCGAAAAATCCGATAATAATACCAAGGAGGTTCTCGAGACTGGCCAGAAAACCTTATTACGCCTTAAATCACCGCCATCCTGCCCCTCACAGGAAATAAACAAAAAGTTGGAGCAGGAGCTGGACGGAATGAAGAGGTCGCTGAAGGAGCTAGATGAAAACATTAGATCTGGACTCTCAGTCTTATCTTCGGCGGACTCTGGCAAAACATTCCAAACCAGCATCAGAGAACAGCTTCAACCCATTGAAGAACATTTAGGTGTTATGTCATCTGAGCTGAGGACGATCAGGGAACAGAAACGGGCTTCATCACCTACAGCCCCGAGTCTAGCAACGGAGCTTGCACAAGCTGGTGAAGCAGCAGCAAAACCGAAAAGGACTTACGCCAGAGTGGCTGCAAGCCTTCCCCTTCCTAAACCCAATCACACTCTTATAATCACATCAACTGATTCGAAGAATACAGCTGACAACATCATTGAGAGAATCAGGGAGGCCCTAGATACTAAAAAGACTGGAGCCAAAGTGGATAGGGTAAGGAAGGCGAAAAACCAAAAAGTCGTCCTCAGTTGTAACACCAAGGAGGATCTTAACCTTGTCCAAAACAGGGTTAAGACAAACAAAAATTTAAAAGTAGAGGTTGCAAGGACAAACAATCCCTTGGCGATGATCAGAGACGTGCTATCGTATCACAGCGACGTCGAAATCGTCGAAAATATACTGGCGCAGAATAAACATCTTCTGCATGACGTCGATGAAAAAGAGCGAACAATCAGAGTTCGATACAGGAAAAAGGCGAGGAATCCACATGAGTGCCATCCTGTTCTCGAGCTCTCTCCACAAGTTCACAGGCGCTTCATTGATGCGGGCAAAATTTACATTGGCCTCCAAAGGAGACCAATAATGGACCACTCTCCCCTAGTGCAATGCACTAAATGTCTTGGTTTTGGCCACACAAAGGCAGTGTGCCATGAAAAGGAGGAACTCTGTAGTCATTGCGGAGAGACTCACTCATGGGACAAATGCCCAACCAGACTGGAGGGGAGACCCCCAAGATGTAAAAATTGCCTAAAAGCGCACGGTGGCGACACGGACCTGGCACACAATGCTTTTAGCTTTGATTGCCGGGAAAAGCAGAAGTGGGATGCCATAGCACGATCTCGCATAACATATTGCTAAGGGCAGCCAAAACAACACCATCTCAAACATTAGTAGGTCAGATACACACATTAAAATCATTCAGGTGAACTTGCAACGCTCCAGGGTAGCAACGGCGGAACTCCTTCAGGTTGCAGCGGATAAAGGAGTGTCGATCGCCATTGTACAGGAACCCTATGTGGGAAAAAATGGCGTTATTA